CGCAAGAAACTTCTGCAGAAGTGGCGCGCCTGCTCGGCCGCCGCCGCCGCCGCCGCGCCGCCCTCGGCCCGGGACCCGCCCGCCCCCTCGGCCCGGCCGGCGGGAGACGGGAGCAGCCGGGCCAAGGCGGCCGTGGCCAAGCGGCTCCCGCACGCGCTGATCGTGGGCGTCAAGAAGGGCGGCACCCGCGCCGTGCTGGAGTTCATTCGCGGCCACCCGGGCGTGCGCGCCCTCGGCACCGAGCCCCACTTCTTCGACCGGCACTACGAGCGGGGCCTGGAGTGGTACAGGTGAGGCGGCTGGGCGAAGCGCGGGGGCCGGGCGGGTGGAGAGCCGCCCAGCAGCCCCTTCCCGTCGCGCCGGTCCGTCCGTGCGCGGCGCTTTGCTCCCCGTCGGGGCCGGAGCGCCAGATGCTCGCAGCGCTGCTCCGCGCCTCGGGCTCGACCGCGACCCGGCTGCTTGCCCGGCGGCCGCCGCCGCCGCGCGTTTTCCGAGGCGCCCCGCCGACCCTCCGCCTCCTCCGCGCGGGGGCTGAGGCGGCGGCGGCAGGGAGCGGCGCTTCTGTTCCCCGTCCGCCCCACGCTTCGCGGCCGAGAGCTCCGCTGGCAGGCGGGGAGCCCCTGCAGGGGCCTCGACGGCTCCGCTCGGCTTGGCGGTTCCTTGCCCACCGGAGCCCCAGCAGAAGCGACCCCCTCCCCCGCAAAGAAGCGCCGCGGAGAAAGGGAGCCGAAGGGCCGGCGGGCTCTGGGCCGGCTTCCCGGGGACTCCTCCTCTAAGCAGGCGGGGAGAATCTGCTTTTCCGACTGGTGCCACTCCGGCCTCCGCGCCCCGCCCCCCCCGCCCCCCCCGAAAGCCCACTTACCTTCTTCCCACCTGAACCCCCAGAGTTTCCCGGGGAACCCGCCTTCCTCCGGGGTAGGTAGGAGTGAGGTGCCCAGCCAGGGCGGCCCAGGCGCGTCAGTTGGCCAAGGAGGTCTCCAAATCCCGGACGTGGATTCTGCCCCCACCCAGTTCGAGCTCGGCCGCCTCACTCCGGGCACTTCCACGCCTGCATTACACCCTCCGCCAAAGCCCTCCGAGGGCGCGTGCAGCCTTCGCCTCTCTTGGCTCAAAATGCTGAGAACGCGGCTTCGAGCCGGCTGCAGCTCTGACGGCACCAAGATCCTCTCCGCCTCCGTTTGGCACCAAAGGGAAGGCAGCGAGAGGAGAGGCAGCCTGCACTCCAGCTGGTCTGATCTTGAAGAGGAAACCTTTCCTCTGCTAGAGCAGGGGGGGGGGGGTGGACTGGTTGATCTCTAATGGAGGCATGAGGTGAGGGGTTGGGCGACCAGCCTTGCCCTGGAAGGGGCTCAGTAGAACGAGGGGCATTTTTATTGCAAGGGCTCCAGTTGGTGGGCCTTGGTTGTGGGAAGCGAGTTCAGGAGCCAACCTTGAAAGCATCTTCTGTGGAGGTTCCCGTGGTCTTCAAAAGCCACGGATGGGACTGCCTGCTGCTGCTGCTGCTGCTGCTGAAGTTCCCCACTCAGCCGTTCCATGGGACTAATATTTCTTTCAAGGGGACCCTCCTCTAGTCTTGTTTAGCCCATTGCTCTTTCTACGGGGCCAGGATCTCCGGCGGGGCCCATACACCCACCGGCTTTTGCCTTGAAACACAGAGCAAACCGTGGGACGATGGGAGGGGCCTCTGGGCCTCTCCAGCCCCTTCCCCGGGTGGGGCCTGAGCCATCCTAGGGAGAATCCCTTTCACCCCAGGCAGGGGGCTTTCTGCTCCGAAAGTTCGGGCCTCAGGGCAGGAGGCAAAGCCGCTTCAAAGTCCATAAGCCACGTTCATCTCGCCTTCAATCAGAGCATGAGGGGACCCTCCATGCTGTTCGTTGTGCCTGAGTAAAAGTAGCCTTTTCCTTCTTAAAGTAGTCCAAGCCAGCCACGGTGGTCGGGCATGTACATTTGTTATGTAGTCCCCTGTCCCCTTGGAGGCAAAATCACCTGCTCCCTCCCCTCCCCCCCCAGCAGAGTCACTAAGAAGCACAAGGCCCCTCCCCTCTGAGATCAGCATTAGCTGCCTCCCACCAGTCCTTGGTCTCCTGGCATTGGCACTTGGCGTTAGCCTCGGTTCTCTAACCAGGCAGAGCAGGAGGGCAGAGGGTTCTGTCTGAGCTGGAAAAGGAGAAGCCACATTTCTGCGCTGCTCCACTTCAACAGCATTCAGAAACGAGGCTTTCCTTCAGATTAGCCTTTCCCCCTGGTCGCCTCATGCAGAAAACAAGGAGCCGGCTGGGCTTTTTCCCTGCCAGTTTCCTTGCATTGTCAGTTTCAAGCACTCCCAACCGCCTCCCCGAACAGGCAGGAGCAGGGCCAGAATCAGGCCCTCCCTGGCCTGGAAACTGGGGGGGGGGGGGGGGTGCATTTCCCTACTGGTTGCAAAAGGGGAGCAGCAAGGAGGAAGCCGCCCCAGACTGGTTCCCCCCAGCAGAGTCCCCAGCCAGTAGCGCCGAGAAGGGAGGCAGTGCAGGGGCCCGGGGGCCCAATGGTGGTTTCCTAACAGATTAGGGACGGGGGTTTGGTTCTTCCAAACTAGAGCGGGCTGAAGTGGCCCAGCACTTGAAAGCCCAGGCGGAGTCTGCGTTGGCTCTCCGGGTCAGGAGCAGCATTTTAAGGGTGGCTGCTACCCGCAGCATCTGGTGGGTCTCTAGGGGCCAGACCAGTGCAGGGGAATCCTAGAAGCCATCCAGTCCAACCCTCCCCCCACTTGATGCAGAATCACCTGCATGAGAAACATCTCTGACAGATGTTCAGCCTCTCTTTGAAGTCTCCTGGCATAGCCTTTCTTGACAGAGTGACCATCCTCGTTGGAATAGGGTGCCTTGCATGAAAGTCTAGCAGATTTTATGCCGAAGTGTGGCTTGCACTCTAGTTGGTAGATCACCAGCCGTACTTGTGCCAAATGCCAATTCTAGGTGGCACCACCGAACAATGTCAGCATCAAGAGAGCATTGTTATTTTAGTCTGAGCTGAACAAACCACCCTGAAATAATTGTGTCCACACAGAATTTTAGGAAGGATATTAGCAAACTGGGTCATATCCAAAGAGAAAACAGGATGACCAGAGGCTAGAAGGAAATTTTTATGCAGAACTGTCTAAAGATCTGGATATGTTTAGCCTGGAGAAGAGAAGGCTGTGGAGGTTCATAGCAGCTGCCTTCAGGTATCTGACAGATCCTTGATGGGGAAGATGGGCCAACTTTTTCAGGGAAGCTCCAGAGGACGGGGCAAAAAAAAAAAACAGCTTTAAAATAAGCAGATTCTGGTTGGGTAACAGAAAAGTTTTCTTCGTGGTTAGAGCTATTCAGCAGTGGAACAGGCTTCCTTTGAGGGAGATATTTAAAGACAAGTTAGATGGTCATCCTGGATGGAACGTTTACTGGTCAAGGAGTCCAATTAGAACAGGGGTGTCAAACTCAAGGCCCAGGGGCTGGATCTGGCCCACGGGCCCACCCTGGAAACAGCCAAGGACTGTGGTGCCTCTGCCAGTGAAAGGGGAGCTCGGGAGGGGCAGAGGGCTGCAGGAGGCCGTCACAGCCGGAAACGGAGCCTCAATGAGTGACATCGAGTTGGCCGTGCCCCCTGCCCTCCTCCCCCCCTCCCGAAGTCAAACACAATCCTGGTGCGGCCCTCAATGAAATCGAGTTTGACGCCCCTGAATTAGAAGCTCCCAGATTCCTTGGTTCTGTTTTGAAAGATGCTGGAGAGGGTTTGATTCATAATGGGCCGTCTCTGCTTTGAAGTTATTTATTTTACTTTTGCAAGTGATGGTTTGATTGTTGTTTAGTTTTTATGGCTACTATGGATTTTTAAAATTGTTTTCCATTTATGTGCTAACTACTGTGCCATTGATCGCGGCAGAATACAAACAATATAGTGACCTGGTTATGCAGAATTGTCTCTTCGAGGGGATGCTCAGCTTGCCTGGAGGGAAGCACCTCCACAAGAGCAAAGAGGCAAACGGTGTTTCTCACGGAGGTCCTTGGGACGCCCAGGTGGTGGTGGAGGAATTCCTCCTGTCCTGTCACTTCTCCCCCTTGTTCCTCACCTCTTTGGGCCCTTCCTTTGCAGGCACCTGATGCCCCGCACCCTGGACAGCCAGATTACCATGGAGAAGACCCCCAGCTACTACGTCACCAGGGAAGCTCCCCAGCGGATCTTCAACATGTCCCGGAACACGAAGCTGATTGTGGTGGTGAGGAATCCGGTCACCAGAGCCATCTCGGACTACACCCAGACCCTCTCCAAGAGGCCAGACATCCCCACCTTCGAGGGGCTCTCCTTCCGCAACCGCAGCCTCGGCCTGGTGGACACTTCCTGGAGCGCCATCCGCATCGGCCTCTACGCGCTGCACCTGGAGAGCTGGCTCCAGTACTTCCCGCTCTCCCAGATCCACTTTGTCAGTGGGGAGCGGCTCATCACAGACCCCGCGGAGGAGATGGCCAAAGTGCAGGACTTCCTGGGCCTGAAGCGGCTCATCACCGAGAGCCACTTCTTCTTCAACAAGACCAAGGGCTTCCCCTGCTTGAAGAAGGCCGGGAGAGGCACTCCACCCCGCTGCCTGGGGAAATCCAAAGGCAGGCCTCACGTCCAGATTGACCCAGATGTGCTGGAGCAGCTACAGGACTTCTACCGCCCCTACAACATCCGCTTCTACGAGGCCGTGGGGCGAGACTTCCGGTGGGAGTGAGAGAGGCCTTGGGGGCAGGGCAGACAGGCTGAGCAGCCGCTTCAGCTCTCCAGCCGTCTGCCTTCGTTCTGGCTGTGGGTGACCATCCAGCGGGCCAAAGTCCAGCCCTCGAGCCGGGGCCACTGCAGTACACGGCCATCCTGCTGGCTTGGTGAGGCCTTCAGGAACTGTTCAATGGTGCAATCAGGGTATGTGAGGCCCAAGGATGGATTTTATTTTTCATAATGGTATAGAAAGAGAGTTTATAAAGGCCACTGGGTAAGCACTAAGGGCACACGCTTCCTAGCTCTGCGGTCCTTCCATGAAACCTCAGAGATGCCCCCTTGTATGAGGGTCCCCATCCCTCACCCCCCTGCCCCCCGGCTGTTTTGCCCCCCCTGAATAAAGCACAGATTTCTGCTATTACGGGTACTTGAGGCCCAGCCAATGGCTTCTCCCAGAGTCTCTCTTGTCTCCTCTTCCAAAGGACACCTGGCAGACACCAGCATTGCTGGGAGAAGGGGGCCGGGGTTCAGTGGGGAGGGAGGCTGCTTTCGTTCCTCCCACAGGTACGGGGGAGGGTGGGCATGTATTTCAGCCTTAGCTGAGAGAAACTGCCTTTCTCAGCCCCCGAGGAGCACTGTGTGTGGCCCAGCCAGTTGCTGGAGCACCTTCTCCAGTTGCCTAGTATGCCAAATTCTGCCACCACCTGCCACGGCCAGGAGTGCTGAGCTGCGTTCCCAGTCCTTCTGTGCCTCTGCTGCCCTCAGCAGCCTTGCCACCTTCATCTCGGAAGGGCTGTGGCTTCTCATTGGCACACAGTAGCCGGCAGCTCCTTCCCAAAGCAGATGGTCCCTGGCAGCCAGTCGCTTGTTCTGCTCGTTCTCCTTTGCTTGCCTCAGCAGCCAGAGACAGACCAAGTGTCAGGGTTCCGGCAATTGCCCTAATTAAATCATGAGCCTAGAACCAGGCTTCACAAGAATCCAAAAGATTTATTAGGAGCAACATGTTGACTTTGACCCGTATGAAGCCAACTCTGCCACATGTAATTTATGGTCACCCGTGATCCTGTTTCCCCCCTACCCCCTGGGTGTATCATAAATCAGATTCTCCAACAAAGCATGTTCAAGGGCTGGATGTCACCAATCACATTCTCCAATGAAGGATTTTCCACGGGTAGCAAATCCGGTAGCTTAAGCTACAATCTTTGTAAGATGAGCGTGGAATGTACATCTGGTTTTAATTGCTGTAGGTTTCCCCCCACCCTCCTGCTTATGGCAACTTGAAAACAGACATAGGAATGCTTTACGAGCTGACGCCAAGTCATTCCAGGGGTTTCCAGACTGGCCCTCTGGACCCTCTGCCGGGGGAGAGCAGCAGCCATGGGGAGGCATGTCTCAGCTGCCCCCAGGGATGGTCTCCCCCC